ATAAGTAAAACCATTTGATACAAGCAGCAATAATGATAATGATAAAATAGGATTATCAAAAGCTCCAAATATTGTAAAAATGTGTATCATGGGATGGATAATATCATTGTATGTATATATTGTAATTGATCCAAGAAGAATAATTATCATGGGAAGTTTACAAATGTTATAATTTGAATTAGAAATTTTACTTAATTAAACTACTTGATTTTTCCGTATATTTTTTTTCAAATAAAGTGCCTTTTCTTTTTACAAATTAAAACTATTCTTTTATTATTACATTTCATAAAATCAAATTGTCTTTACATACATATGAGTTGTGTTAAATTGATGTTTTTTCAAATTTTTAACTTTTGAAGTTAACTACACGTAATACACAATAATATTAATCCCAGTTTAACAAAATGAGGCCAAATTTTTGATTTTGTCATTTTTTAAAAATGCTATCAGTAAAACTAAATTAAAATTCTTTTTTGGTGCAATTTTTTTCATTCTAATGCCAATTTAGTATTAGAAACTGTTTAGAATTTTGATTTGTGGTTAGTCTTTGCCACATGAGATGAAACAAAACATCGCTGTTCGTTGTTGCAGTAGTCAATAGTAAAAATTATGTTATAATGTTTCCCCTATTTTTTTTATATAATTAATTGTCACTCTTTACAATGGGCTTTCGTTACAACAGGCTTTCGTTACAATGGATTCTCATTACAATGGGAAAAAAATAAAAAATTACATATGGATTTGAGGATCAAGCTTTGACTGTCTGTATGAGATAATTGCCACAGTACAAGAAGCATCAGAAGAAGACAAAAATATGGGTATTCTAATATTGTTTTAGATGACATTCAAAATTTAACTATTTGCACAAAATTCTGATACAATATATTAGTTCAGAAGTATCAGAAACGAGAGAATTGCAACATCAAGTTAGAAAAAAATAAAATGTTTCTCTCTCTAACATATAACTTAGAAAGATTTACTTGATATGTCAATCACACGAGCCCGCTATAATCTTAAAAAAAAATATTATTAAGGGATAGTACTTTCCGTTTTGGTTTTTAAATACACATTCCGCAATTTCTGCAGTATCCCACCATTTGAATACATTAATATTTTATTGTCTTATCTAAATATCTATCAATTTTATCCAGATGTTTACTAATATTTGAGTTATTGTGTTTTTGTATTCAAAGCATTGCATTAAAAAAATTTGTATAATCTTTTTATAAAACAATTATTTTTCAAATTTTCAGTTGTATAAACTTCTTTGAATATTTTTTTAGAAAAAAGAAAAAGCTCACTGATAGTTGGCCTTTTTGATGGATCCACATCCCAACACCTTTGCATCATTTGTGCATAGTCACCAGGCATTTGAAGTAATACTGGTGGCCGTAAACCTTCATATATATCAAAAATTAAATGATGATTATGAGCTCTATTGTCAAATGGTGGATAGCCTGCAAATATTTCCCACATTAACATTCCAACACTATAAATATCTGTTTCTTTTGTGCTTTTAGTATTATTTGTGCCCTTAAATAGCTCAGGTGCAACATATGGTACAATTCCATATATTTTATTTGATGACTTTTCATCAACTGGTCCACATAACCCCAAATCTGTAATATAACCAATACCTCCTTCCAATAATATATTACCACTATGTAAATCACAATGGATTAAATCTTTTCCATGTATATCATATAATGCACTACATAACCATCTAAAAATTGTAATTCTATTCTTTAATGTCAAATTAGAATGATTTTTTTGTAAATAATCCCTTAAATTTCCTTCTGGATGATAACTTAAAACTATTGCATAATTTCCATTATTTGGGAACTTAGTTATACCATGACAAGGAACAATCATCAGTGACTTAATTTTACAATAATTTATTGCCTATAATTGAATATAAAATCAATTAGCATTATATAACACAATATTATTTATTTTTGTTTTAAATAAAAATTACTACCAACCTCATCAAAAAAGCCTTTTCCTGGATTACTTGAATTATTTAAACTTTTTAATACTATTTGTTGCCCTCCAAAATAACTAAATTCTTTTTCCTTTTCATTGTAATCAAATATTTTTCCTCTTTTCCATGTAGCAGTGTAAATTGAACTAAATCCACCTTTAGTTAAATTTTTTATATCTTCAAATTGCTCAAAAGGTATCCATTCTAAGATATGTCTTGGCAAGGGTGATTTCATTTGACATTGTTGAATAAAGTTGTTAACTATGTTATTTCCAGATGTCCAATTATTAAAAAGATTCTGTAATTGTAAACTAATACAACCTTCACAGAACCTATCAGAGCATTTTGTTGATTTACACTCATTGCATT